AATACATTTTTTCCCGGCCAACTTTTTCGTTGGCGACCAATATCTACGATGCCGTGGGGTAGATTACATTATACACATCCGTTTATTTGAGCGGCGGCGCGTTTGGTGACGGAGCTGCCAAAATTGCCAGCCAGCAGTATTGGTTTTTGGCCGCGGCCAATCCTGGGAGGGGGGGCAATATCATCGCGGAACACGGTGCAAGCTCACAACGATATTATTAACACCACCCCTCAGCCAGTTGTCCAGGGGATTCAACGAGCCGTGTAACCTTACGCCAGCAACAATATGGAAGCAGCCGTCTCGTAACACTCAAGGCCAGCCATCAGGAAGTGTGTCACTTCACACTCAATCCAGCCCATCATGGAGGCGCTGTGCAACACTCATTTCCAGCCAAGTAAGGGAGCTTGGAGTCACACTTCAGGGCAGCCAATCAGGGGACGGCGGTTTAACTGTCAGTCCCAGCAAAATAAGCATGGCTTGTAACACTCAGCCAGCCAATCAGGAGCGTGAATGAACACTTAGTCAGCCAATAAGCAGGGCTCTTGTAACACTCAGGCCCAGCCAATCAGGAGGCGTGTAACACTCAGCAGCAATAAGGAGGCGGTCTCACTCAGGCCAGCCAATCAGGCGAGGGCGTGTAACACTCAGCCAGCCAATCAGGAGACCTTTGGGACAGTCAGTCAGCCAATCCAGGGAGGCCGTGTCACACTCAGGCCAGCCAATCAGGAGACCTTTGGACAGTCAGCCAGCGACATAAGGGGAGGCTGTGTAAACACTCAGGCATGCTCAATCCCAGGCACGCACGTAACACTCAGCAGCCAACAAGGTATAACACTCAGCGCCCAATCAATGACCATGTAAACTTACCACATATGAGGGAGTGGGTTTCACACTTCATCCAGGCCAATCAGGGTGAGTGCATTAACACTTCAGCAAGCAAATAGGATGCGGTGTAACACTCAGCAGGCCAATCAGGAGGCGATGTAAGCTCAGCAGCAATAAGGAGGCCGTGTCGAAACTCAGGCAGCCAATCAGAGCCGGTGGCAACTTTAGCGCAGCGCAATAAGCAGGGCTCTAACGACTCAGGCCGCCTATCAGGATGCGCATGTATAGCACTCAGCAGACTTATTCAGGGGATGGCGTGTAACACTGGGTTGCCAGAATTGCATGGGAGCACAATAAGCCAGCAATTATCATGGTGAAGCGCAAAAAAGTCACTATTTACTTTTGTTTTTTCAGCCAGAACTTAAAGTGGATGGAGAGCCCACATCAAAGCTCCCTTTCTATTCATCAATCAGGGCCGCTGTCATCTTCCTTGAGGTGAAAGTGGATGGAGTAAGTCGTTCTGGGAGAAGGAAATGGGCAGGCTTAATGTTAAAAGCTTCTTTTCAGAGCAGAGAAGCTCATTTTTGAATCATTTAGCGTCGCGCGCACACACACCACGCTCTATTCCCGACCTCGTTGCCAGAATTGCATGAATAGCAGCAAACAAATTAAGGCCAGAGAATTACATGCCGAAGCGCCAAAAAAGTCACTATTTCTCTTTGTCTTTTACAGCCAAACTTAAGTGAGAGACCACATCAAATCTCGGCGCCTCCTCACTCTCCCTGGTGCATTGTCTTCTCGCTGGCCGTGCATCTTCCTGAATGGTGGAAACTGGGGTATGTGCATAAGTCGTTTCCTGGAAGAAAATGGCAGCTTAAAGAAAAGCTTCTTTTCGGAGCGTAACTAGCGTGAGCGACGACTCCATTTAAACATCTCTTAGGGTGGAACAAAACACCACATTCCCACTTTGTTAGCGCATTAATTGCATGGTACACAAAACAGGCCAGAAAATTACATTGTTGAAACGCCAAAAAGGTCACTTATCATTACTTTGTCTATTACAGGCAAACAACTAATTGAGAGAGCCTTTACCATCAATTATCCCCCCATCATCAACCGAGGGCCGGCTGTGCATCTTCCTGAGGTGGAAATCTGCATGGATAAGTCGTTCTGCGAAGAGAATGGCAGCTTAAATGAAAAGTTCCTTTCACTGAGCCACGAGAGCTAATAAATTTTGAATTTATGGGGTTGGAAAAACACCACATTCCTGCTTTTATTGCCAGAATTGCACCCTGAAACACAATAAGGTCAGAATTACATGCGAAACGGCAAGAAGTCCACTGTTCATACTTTCGTCTTATTACACCAAAACTAAGGTAGAGGAGCCACATCAAATCCCTCTATTCATCAATACCGGAGGGGCTTGTATTAGGGTGGAAGGACTGATGGATAAGTCGTCTGGAAGAGAATGGCAGCCTTAAACGAAAACTCTTTCTCAGGAGCCAGTAGTGTCTCATTTTTGACCCCATTTCATACGTGAGGAAAACACAACGCTTAGTCCCTACTTTCTGTAGTTGCCAAGATTAGCATGGGGAATACACAATAAAGGCACGAATTACATTGCGAACGCAAAAAAGGTTCAACATTCATATCTCTTATCAGCCAATAGTGAAGAGAGAGCCACATCAAAATCCCTCCCTCTTATCATAATCGCGTAGGGGTGACTGCTTGCATTCCGAGGTAGGAAACTTGTATGATAAGTCGTTCTGGAAGAGAATGGCCAGTCATTTAAATTGTAAAAAGCTTTGTTTCAGAGCCAGAAGAGCCTCATTTTTGACATTTAAGTGGAAAAACACCACATTTCCTGCTTTGTTGCCAGAATTGCCACCTGAAACCACTAATAAAGGCCAGAATTACATGCGAAACGCAAAAAAAGTTCACTGTTCATTACTTTTGGTCTATTACAGTCACAACGTTAAAGTTGAAGGAGCACATCAAATCCTCTAATCATGCTTCAACCTGGAGGCCGATGTGCCATCTTCCTGAGGTAGGAAGACTGATGGGATAAGTCGTTCTGGAAGAGAATGGCAGGTAAAATGAAAAAAGCTTCTTTTGCAGAGCCAGAGGAGCTACTTTTTGACATTTACGGTGGAAAAACACCACATTCTGCTTTATTGCCCAGAATTGCACCTGAAACACAATAGTCAGAATATACATGCGAAACGCAAAAAGGAAAGTCACTTTTCCATACTTTTGATCTATAGTCAGCCAACAACTAATTGAGAAGAGCACATCAAATACTCTATCATCAACCGAGGCGCTGTGCAATCTTTCCCTGGGCACGGCATGAAACTAAGGGTAAGTGTTCTGGAGAGAATGGCAGCTTTAAATGGAAAATAACGCTCTTTTCAGAGCAGAGTGAGTTCTTTTTTGGACATTTAGGTGGAAAAACACCACATTTCCTGCCTTTATTGCCAGGATTGCACTAAACACTCAATAAAAGGGCCAGAATACATGCCGAAAACGCAAAAAAAGCTTCACTGTTCATACTTTTCTATACAAGCCAAATATAAGTCAGAGAGAAGCCACATCCAAATCCCTTCTGTCAATCAATGCCGAGTGCCTAGCAGGTGCTATCTTTCCTGGAGGGAAACTGGTAATGGATAAAGTTCCGTTTTCTGTAAGAGAATGCCAGCTTAAATGGAAAAAGCTTCTTTCAGAGCAGAGGGAGCCCTCATTTTTTGATCATCTTAGGTGGAAAACATCCACTCCTGCCTTTGTTTGCCAGTAAATGCACCTGAAACACTCAATAAGCTCCAGAAAAGGTTAACATGCGAAAGGCAAAAATGTCTACTGTCATACTTTTGTCTATTACAGCCAACTTAAAGTGTGTGAGGAGAGCCACATCATAATCCTCTTATCCATTCACGGTAGTGCCGCTGTGCATTCTCCTGAGGTGGCAAGAACTGATGGATATAAGATCTGTTCTTGGATCGAGTAATGGCAGCATTAAAGAAAAAGCTCTTCAGTGAGCCAGAAGGACTGTTATTTTGATTCATTTAGGTGGAAAAACACCACCATCCTGCTTGGTGTTGGCCAGAATTGCACCTGAATAAACGAATAAGGCCAGAGTTCAGATATACAGCGAAACGCTAAAACAGTCTACTGTTCAATACTTTTTTGAGAGATATGCCAAAGAAGAATTGGTATGCCAAAGAAGAATGGGCTGGGATTCCTCAGGAGATGTGTCAGAGACTTGT